AAACACAATAAAATTTAAAATATATATACATATATATATATATATATATGTGATTTGAACCCACCCAGCTGTACTATCTGTCTACCTACTGAGGTGCCTCTGGATGAGTTTGAACCATCAACCTCCCAGCTAGTAGTTGAGTGCTTAACTGTGCTACCCAGGGAATCCTTCTTAATTGTTACGGTTGTCTAATTGCCAGCCTTCCCCACCTGGCTAGCATCTACCTGAGGGCAGAGACCAGTCTAATAACAATTGGGTCTTCCAAGCCAAGCACAGATCCTGAACACAGGAGACACTCAGTATTTGTTAGATGAATCATAAGTTAATTTATTCATCAACTCTTTATCCACAAGGGTCAATGTATTCTTGAATCTCTTTCCATCTCCCCCTTAGCTGCTGGCTCCACTCAGACAAAGGATTTATATGGACCTTCCTTGGACCTGTGTGCACCATCTTCTCTGTGAGTGATGATATCAGTGCTTCCTTACTGCCCAGCTGAGTGTCATTCAAAGGACAGGTGTATAAGGAGAGTTAGAGATAGAGTGACCAATTCTTCCAGTTTTCCTTGGAATGGAAAGTGGGTCTTTTCATTTTAAACCAGGGCTGAGGGGTTTCATGAGATGAGGGACTAGGTCACCCTAGTTACAGCACAGTTATGTCCCTGAGTTACTGTGTGTTTGGTTTGGTTTCCTCTGATTGCTGCAAAATAAAAGAAATTCTTATATGCTGGTGTTGGGTGGGCTAGAAGAAAGGGCTAGAAGAAAGGTTTAACAGGTGTGAAATTTATTCAATATATATTGTGGGGTTTCTGCAGATGAATTTGGCTTTCTTTCTGATGACATTCTGGATTGCGAAAAACAAACTCACCTGGCTCAGCGGGGATGTGTCTACCCTCCAGAACACAAGGTAAGATGCAGCAGAGGGTGCACACCCCAGACAAGGTGCATTCCAAGGAGCTCCATGTAGCTCCAAGCTGCTGATATCCCTTCTTAGGGCTTCTGAGGACCCCAGAGGAGAAGAGTGTGGCCACCCCTCTTTGGCTGCCAGCTCAGATACTGTGGTTTCCAACTGACACCCAAGACAAAAATATTCCATCTGTCCATAACCCCAGCATGCAACCCCCGAAGCTACAGAGAGAATTGACTCTGGTCCAGTTAACAGGGACTATTTGTCAATCCAGTGTCAAAGGTCCAAAGAACATTCATAACTTTATGAAGCTCCTGGGAAAATATATAACCATTGCCAGAACCCAGCGTGCCCTTTCATGCCCTCACCTCCATTCATGTTCAAGTTCTTCTCTCTACCTACCCCACTCCTCCACCCGGTGAAATCAGGTTCAGTATCTTTATATCACATCCTCTAGGAGGAATTCGTTGTCCTTTGCTTTCCTCAAACTTGTTCAGAATTAATGGGCTGTATGGGAAAAGGAGGAGCCCTGGTGACACAGTGGTTAAAAGTTCAACTGCTAACCAAAAGGTCAGCAGTTCAAATCCACCAGCTTCTCCTTGGAAACCCCATGGGGCAGTTCTACTCTGTCCTATAGGGTCGCTATGAGTTGGAACCAACTCGACAGCAACAGGTTTGGGTTTTGGTATTAGAAAAGGAAGGAGCCCTGGTTGTGCAGTGGTTAAGCACTTGGCTGCTAACCAAAAGGTCGGTGGTTCAAACCCACCAGCCACTCCACAGGAGAAAGACGTGGCAGTCTGCTTCTGTGAAGATTACATCCTTGGAAACCCCATGGGGCAGTTTTACTCTGTCCTGTAAGGTCTCTATGAGTCAGAATTGACTTTATGGCAATGGCTTTGGTCTTTCTGGTACTGCAAAAAGAGTCCCTGTGTGGAGCAAGCAGTTAAGCACTCAACTACTAATCAAAAGCCTGCAAGTTTGAACTCACCCAGCAATGCCGCAGAAGACAGGCCTGGTGATCTGCTTTCATAAAGATTGCAACCAAGAAAACCCTATGGAGTAGTTCTACTCTGTAATACATGGGGTCATCATGAATCAGAATTGACTCCAGGGGAACAAGTTTTTTTTTTTTTTTTTTAAATTCTGGGAAAAACATGTTCTGGATCAGTTCACCGACAGAGTAAGGACAGGAATAGTCCTGGATAGGAGCCAGGCAGTGGTAACTTGCAATTCACAAACATTGTAAGTGACTATTTGTTTCTCTCTTCCACTAGACTGTAACCTCTAGAAAAAACAGAAATTGTATCTTTCTCATGCTTGTTCCCAGGCCCCAGCACAGAGCCAGGTGCAGAGTAAAAAAAAAAAAAAAATCCACTTGCCTTAGGGTCGATTCAGACTCATGGTGGCCCCGTGTGTGTCAGAGCACAATTGTGCTGCATAGGGTTTTCAATGGCTGGTTTTTCAGAAGATTACCAGGACTTTCTTCTGAGGCACCTCTAGGTGAACTCAAACTGCCAAACTTTCAGTTAGAGGCAAGCATGTTGACTGTTTGCACCACCCAGTGAATCCAGGGGCATAGTACATCCTCAGTAATGTCAGTTGAATAAAATTAGGAGTTACATGAAATAGTATAATTCTTTTGAAACCCACATTATGAAGTGTCATTATCCTACTCAGTCCACAGCAAAATGCCATTGTGGAACCAAGTGGCTTTTCCTTTGGGAGAATCATGGACAGTGAAGGCCAAGGCTGATCACAACTCAGTCTGAAAATTCATCACCAAGGCAGGAGGGCAAGGACATCCATGGGGTAGGGATGAGAATGGCCTTGATTTTGGCTCTCTGGATGCATCACAGGGATCCTTTCTCATCCTTACCAGGATGCTGACATTTAAAACGATAGCTCAACTCTTCATTCTGGGCTGAACCTGGTGTCTGGGCATCCTGCAAGTGGGCCCAGATGCCCAGGTCACGGCCTACCTCTTCGTCATCATCAACAGCCTGCAGGGCATCTTCATCTTCCTAGTGTACTGCCTCCTCAGTCAGCAGGTACCACTGCCCAGCTCCCGCCCAGGACTATTCTTGTCCTCCCCCCCTCAGTGAGCTGACCCCAAACATGCTTTGCCTCTGCAGGTCTGGAAGCAGTACAGGAAATGGTTCAGAGGGATCAGGAAATTTAGAGCAGAATCTGAGATGTACATGCTCTCCAGCAGGGTCGTGTCTGACTCCTCCAAACCCAGCGTGGTAAGATCTTCATAGAGCACTTCACTAACCGATCCACTTGAGTAGCACATGCCTATCACACTGGAAAACATAAATCTACGGTAAATGATGCTCCAGTGGTGCTCACACTCCATTCATGCCTTGTCTCCCTTGAAGGCATTTCTCTCTCATTAACAAAGATCTTCTACTTTCACTCACTGGGTAACTGTTCTCACCTTGACCCTGCCACACGACCATCCCTTCATTCACCAAATGTTTTGGACAACCACTTGGGCCACACGTGGTGCATGTGCTGTTTAATTTTATTGAGTAAGAAGATACAAAACACTTATAAGCTGAGAAAGATGTTATGGTAAACTAAGCAAGAAGGAACTAGGGATCTGAAGCAGTGATGCACAGACTCTCAGAATCACAGCACTATCCTTTATCCCACAGTCACTGCATGCTACCCCCTAAATGAAGAGCAAAAAGTACATGATATATATAGTCATAAAAAGAAAGGAAAATAAGTATAAAGGTGAGAGTTTCTTTAAAAATCTGCATTAGTTCCTTGCATTTTCAACATCCACAAATACTGCCAAACCAGAGAGGAGAATCATATAGGGCATAGGATAAGTCCTGGCATATGAATAAGACTGAGCATTTGTAGGTTTACAAAACCTTTTCTCATGTTTTTGTTCACATGCTCGTCACAAGTGTTATCCCTAAATGTTCCTATCTGGAAGGCAAAGAAAGTAAGACTCATGAGGTTTATGTGAATTGTGCAAGGTCTTCAGTCTCTTCATTTTTACTCCCAACTTCAATTAGCCCACCAGTCTGTCTAGCAAGCCTTCCGCCTTTCTCTCATCCATTTGTTAGTCCACCCTCTACAAAGTGCTCCTTCCAACATTCTTCACTCTTCAAATGTCTCATCCTTCTAGTCTTCCCTCTTTACTAACAAGTGTTCTTACCACTCCTCACAGAGAAAATATAAGTCAGTAGGGTGACACTAGGTCAACTTTGGGCTCTTGGTCACAACAGCCGATTAGCATCTGTGCCCTTCTGTCCTCATTCCGTGTTGTTACCATAAATAGATAATGTTTGCGTCCTGATTTTTAAGGTTAATCCCTTCACCTACACCTTGGTTTCCAAACCACCTGCTTTCACAATAACTTTACATTATTACTCGTTCTGTCACTATCTATCTATCATCTATCTATCTATCTATCTATCATCTAGATATTATCTCTGGAATATTCAGTCTCACTTTCGCAAGAGTCATTCTCACCTTCATTGTAACAGACTGTCTCTCCTTTATTAAAAATCATTAATATTATATATTTTGGTCCCTCTTTCTCCCTCCTCTACCCACTCAAACTGGCTTTTGCCTCCATCATTGCACCAAAACAGCTCTTGCTTAAGCTTCCAATGAGCTGCATATCAGTGTATTAAATACATATTTTTGGTCCTCTTAGCAGCATTGGATGCTGTGGTTACTGCTTCCATCTTGAAACACTCTTCTTCTTTCCTTGGCTTCTTTGTTCCAACACTTCCTGGCTTTTCTCCTATCTCTCTAGTTTGGCTTTTTCATCTTCTTTATATTTCATCAATCTTTCTGGCTTGGTTCTAGAAACACTTTTATTCTCATTGCATACCCTACTCATAAACAATGTCTTCCACATCCAGGACTCAATGTGCCAAATAGAAGGAAATGACGACCAAATAGATTTCTCTATCTCTGAATTACCTGAGCTCAATTGTACTATTTCCATCGCCTAATTAATACCTCTATGTAAATATCTCAGAAGCAGCCCAGCTACACTTAACAGACCTTTTTATCTCTTTCACCAACCTAATCCTCTCCTGGAGCTCTGATG